AGTTCATTAGAAGAGTTGTCACGTGCTTGTATAAAGAGTATAATTCTGGGTGTTAACTAAGCTTCTGAGAACTCACAATTTATATTCTATTGAATTGAAATCAGTCTAGCCATGATAGAAAATATACCAAGCTTGTCTATAAACCAGTTACATGAGAGATATCATAACTAAAACACAGATTGGAAGGGAATTAATAACATTTGTTCACCTGGGGAAATAACACCACTGACATTTCTTTTACTCATTTTCAAATCCTCATAAAATCATGTGAATAAAATCTTTCCTTAAAATCCATGCAGGAATTTTAATATTAGTGTAAAAATGAGCATATTAGTTTTTTTAAGTCCTTTCAGTTGACAAAAAAGATAATTTGTTACAAAGTATAGCTATAAGTTTTATGGAATTGATCATAGTTATCTCATATAAAATGTTCAATAGATTTACTATACATGGTATACTCAGTGTCAGTTTGCATGCCAATCATGGAGAAATGTCACGATCATAGGTAGGACATAGAAAACATTTACTGATTATGGGTTACAAAGTCCTTCAGAAGCAACAGCTCTGCTCTTTATATTTAGAGAAATATGGAGTGATCTTGATTATTTTCTACCTTTTCTGGGTTTCATCTAAAGGCAATCACGTTCTTTCCTTTATCCATGCCTCATTCTGCTCTAGATATGTGATAAAATATGCCACAACCCTGCTACAGAGTCCAATTTTTCCACAAGTTTTAAAATGAAATAAAAGACTGGATAGATTAAGGGATCAAGATCTGTGTGACTGAATATGCAGACTAAAAATGATCTAGCTAACACAGGACCTATGTTAATCTCTAGTGGCCATTTTGTTTGGGTATGGTTACTAAGAACATTGTAAAACTGGCACATAATATAAATGAAAAGGAAATTTTAAAACATAATATAATTTTGCTTTAAAAATACTTCAATTTTAATGATGGAGTATTGGACATACATGTACATGAACAAATACATGTCTTATATTTTTTCACAAAATTCTCCGATGGTAGGAGGGGGCACATCTACTACCTTTAGCAGAAAATTAGCATTAGGTTTTCTGCCAGGTTCGTGGCTTATCTAGTGTCATGTTTTGGACCACTTAAGATACAGCAGATATGGGTGTCACATCTTACACAGCTTCAGGTACCATGAATGGAGCTTGAAGCAGCCACCAGCTTGAAATCCATGTCCAATAGCAAACGTAAGTTATGTTCAGTAATAGGGCCTTGTCAGCATGTTATGGAAAGTAAGCCATAGGCTTGGCAATAGTCTATGATACTTAGGGACTGGTCTCTGACCCCTTTCTCTAATGACTCAACAAGATGCAATCTATTCTTGACACCGGAGGTTTTACTTGAGGGTACATGATGTCCACCTGGGACATTGTGTCCCTCATTGTATATTGTTTCTACTTAAATTCTTGGCATATATGTGTGCATTTTAGAAAGAACAGTACTGGGATTCCATATGGCTTTTCCAAAAGAGCTATACTGTTAATTGTCCTCTTCTTTTCTCCTCACCCATTTAGTTCTCCCATTCAAGATTCACCTTGATTAATTTATAATATTATATTCTATTTCACCTTCATTGAATGATCATTCCTCCCCGCTTGTCTCTTACTAGCTCCCAAATCTCTGGGGCTATTCAGATTGAAGTACACATACTGAGAGCTTACATGCTAGTGTCCACATAGAAAATAGGCTATATTTAAATTTTGCCATCTGAGTTACGCCACTCAGATTACTGCTTTTTTTCTAGCTCTATTCATTTAGCTGGAAATTTCATAATTTTTCTTAACTGGTAAACGAGTTATTAGCTATTCATCAGTTGATTGACATTTAGACAGTTACCAATTCTTGTCTACTATGAGGAGAGCAAAAATGGGCTCGGATAAGCAAGAACTCTGTGGTATGATATAGACTTCACTGAGTATATATTCCCAAGTGGTTCTGCTCTTGGAGGAATGTCCATCCTGACTTCTATTGTGGATGAACCAGTTTGTATAACCAGCATCAATGGTTAAGTGTCCGGCTTTCCTCACACCCTGGCCTGCATGTGCTTCTGTTTCATTGATCTACACCATCCTGACTGATGTAGGAGGAAATCTTAGAATTGTATTGATTTGCAATTCTCTTATGACACTGAATGTTGACCAGTTTTTAATTGTTTCTTAAATATGTGCTCTATCTTTTGAGGAACTGTAGGGAGAGGTCTACATAACCGTAGCACTGACCACGCCCATTTGGGTGTATTCACAGGTACATAGAACACATGGGGGTTAAAAAGAGCTAGCAGAGGAGACTCTCTCTCTCTTTGGGTTCCAGTTGCAGCCTGGAGAGCAGGGTGCAGACCTTTGGTTCTCGACTTTTCCTTGGCTTCTCACGTAAGTCATTTCTCTCTCAATAAAATACCATAGGACATCCCTATTTTGTGTATCTTAATATTTCCACATTAAGGAGCACTGTTTAGTTCTATATTCCACTTTTATTCTGTTATTTCCCTAGTGTTCAGGGCTAATTTTGTTGTTGGTCTAGATACTTAGGCAGTTTGCAGCACGAATAAGGGATAATCTGGGAAGTCCAGAAATGAGGATTGGAAGTAGCAAGAATGTATTCTACAGGAGTACGAGTTTTGTTTGGCAGTAGTGGGTCTCTGATTGGAAGGCGTCCTTTGGGTAAACGAAGAAACAAAGACCTAGACATAAGCCCAAGGAAGAATTAGGGTACCCTGAATTCGCAGAGAGGGGCTGAGTCTCTACAGTATGTGGGTGGGTTGATTTACCTCTTGTTTTCTTAGGAAATTAATGTATGTTATCCTTAGAAGAAATCATTGTTCCTAATATTAGAGAGATGCAAGGCAGACACATGAATATATTACATTGTATATAATGCAGTATATCTGGGCAGTGCTATACGTTGATTTTCTGAGATAAGGAGATTAGCATGATTCCAGGAATAGTCTGTGTCTAGTATCTCATACCTGAACCTTGGATTAAACCAAGAATAAAGAAAGCCATACTATTATATATGATCAGTCTTTTGGAGTTAGTGTACCCCTTTACCTGACCAGACTGAAGTCTGACTGTCATTGATCCATGAGGGTAACATGTGGACAGTTATTCTTCAAAGGCTTGTGAATGCTCAAAGAGTCCTTATCCTTTCATAGTTGATGGTCAGCTTACCATCTTGGTATACTAAAATCCTTCCTTGATAGAATGCCCAGATAGTTTATAAGTTTATGTTACATGTTTCCTGAAAACATTTGTCTCTATGGGTTTAGTAGGATCTGATCCCAGGAAATGAGACCAAATCCTTCTCAGGTTTTCTGGGGAAGGCAAGCTTTTTAATGTCAGAAGTTGTTCTGTTGAAATGTGTAGGGTGACAAAGTTTTATGGCCTTCTGCAGCTGTAGACTCTGAAATATCATTTCTCATTGATCGTTCATAGAAAGCAAATTTTAAACTCCCCATTAAATGTATTATAGTTATAATTTAACCAATATTTCACAGTTATTATATTCCTCTCCTGATTATTTTCTATTCATTGTACTTCATACTGGTATAATATTTTTATTTTATTAAATGAAACACCAAGAGCAGTCAATGATGCTTAAATTCATCATCTATAAAGTAACCTTGCTATATTACATGAAAACTGTATACACAGTATCCTGAATCCAATTCTACTTCATATTATCAGTAATCCTAACTTAAAAGGACAGCTAATAGCTATTCAATTAAACAGTAAACAATTCTTTATGTAAATTTTATTCTCTGTCTTCTAGTATGGATTTAAGATATTTACATTGGTATTTTGTTTAGTGAAGTTTGATTTTTACAGCAGACATATGTTTACAAATATTTTCTTAATAATTTTAAAGATGCTTTATAAAAACGCCCAGTTGTTTTTGTTAACAATGATTTTTTTGTTAATAAAGTAGTCATTTACATTTTCCAAACTTGCACACTCATAGGATCTACATGTATTACAGGACGCGGTCAAGAAAATTTAAGTGTGAGAATTTTGTAGATTGTTTTATCTTCATTCCACTGACTACTTTTATGTGCAAACAGACAAGGAAAGATTTATCGGGATTAGCCTAAATCCACATGGGTCACCTATGGGTTGTTATGGGTTTGCTGAAGTTATACACAAAGACACTGCAAAAAAAATACCTATGAAACATGAAGTTTTAGAGAAAGGAATGTGTAGGGAGAGATCTTATGTTCCCACAGCACTGACCACAGCAGTTTGGGCATGGTCACAGGTATGTAGAATGTACAGGGAATAAAAGAGCTTGGTGAAAGGAGATGCTCTCTTTTTGGTTCAGGTTGCATCTCAGAGGGTAGCATGAGACCTTTGGCTCTTGGCTTTCTTGGCTTCTCATGTAAGTGACTTCTCCCTCAATAAAGTATCATAGGACATCCCTACTTTGTATAGCTTAATTTTTCCACAATAGGAATGGATGCTGCTTAAGACAAATGAGGTAGTAATAGTAACACATGGTTGCAATATGGGTGCCAGAACTAGCCATACTGCTCTGTAAGCCATGAGGACTCCAAACGTAGACTTGTAGACATTAGTGTCAGTTATAAGCTTGAGGCATATGACTTGACTTAAAAATTTTCCCTGGGAAACTGTTTTCTTCTATCAGAGAAAGAAAATTCATAAACCAAGCAAAATGTTCTCCAAGATAGTATTCCTACTTGAATTCACACGCATGCATTGTTGGATCTGTACAATGGCCATTAGCTGATTAATATGCATGTGGGGCTGAAAACCAAAATCTTCATTGACATTTCCTCCCTCAAATATCACTGAATCTGTATATAATCTTCAGTCTCATTAAAGATCTTAAGAAAACAGCTTTCCATGGACTTTAGTTCCCTGAGGTAAAAACGCACTTTTTAACTTCTGAAGTTAGATGCCACCTAATTATTTTTGTCTTACTGAATCAAGATGTAAGGTGCTTTACTACTTACAATCAAGGGTCTTCAGTTTTTGGATATCTGGAAGAACTTCCTCCATTCCAGTGGAAGAGATTTCATCATACATGAGCTGTTCCAAAAGCTCCAACACCACCTGAGGATGGAGAAAATCTTTAGCTAGAACATAGCAATACAATACAGGCCATATTTTAAAAATCCTATATATTTTTAATGACTAAGAGCTGATATTTTTATTCAAACTTGAAATGCTTTGAAATTTAACTTGCAGGGGGATTTAATCTTTGAACTTTAATATTTCCCTGCAAAGTTCAAACTGCTAAAGGGCTTAGATTCAAATTTATAGCATGTGTATGGTGTTGGCATTTTATTATTTTAATGGCTTTATCAGTTTTATTAATAGATTTCATAATAAAGTCATTTACACCATCGAGTAACTACTGACAGGTTATGTTGTATATTCTAATCATACCTAATTTGCAATGAGAAATGGAATAGAGAAATAGATTTTTAGCCTTACAGCAGAACAAGTTTGGCACATATTTTAATAAGCACCCTACTCAAATCAATATGGACGGCTAGACAGAAAACATTTAATATCCTCTACTTGTGTTAAAGAAGGAGTTGGTTTGAGAGGGGCAATCTCAGGATGTTCTGTAATTGCAAAAATATCTGTTAATGACGAATAACCATCTGATGCCTTCGCCTTTCAGGGTCATGATCCTAGTAACTAAGCACAATGTATTAGGAAACAAATAGTTAAGAAATGATGAGAGGATAAGTTGGTCTTTGTTTTCAAGTATTGAGAATTATCATCTTTCAACTTACAGCATTATTAAAATGTAATTGATATATAAAATCTTTACTTAATTAACATACATTATTAAATACATAAACTCTAGTAGACATTTCAACACTTCCCAAGATTTTTCTGTGGTTTGATTTTATATGTATCCAAAGAACACTTGGTATGATTTCTTCTGTGTAAAATGTTTTGAAGCAGACCGTAATGTGTTAATACATTAGGCCATTTGCTTTAAGGTCGATCACTAGAACTTACTTTAAACTGATTAAAACTTTATACCCACTAAATGAAATTCTCTATTCATCTAGACTGCAAGTCTTGAAGACTTCGATTAGTTTTTATTGCCTGTGTGAGTTTGACTATATCACGTACACTACAATTTCAGATAGTACAATGTCCTACATTTTTCATTCACGTGTTGGAAAGTGCTGGGATCTCTGGATACATATTCCAACATATGTATGGGGCATACTTTCTTTCTCCATTCATCTGCAAATGAACACTGAAACTAATATATTATTCACAAGCAATAAACCTGAGGGCAGCAACAGTGCACAGAAAAGTCTGACTTCTACCACATTAGGGACACATTTAGAATTGGCGTTGATTGGGTTTCCAGGGGTTCTTTGTTTTCTTTTGTTTTATTGTGGTGTTTTCTTCTTGCTGTTTTAAAGAAATTCTATAAAGTTGTCCATAACTGCCATATCATTTTACATTTCAAAAATAGTATATGAGAAATCCAACTCATCTAACCTTCACTAGCATACACAGTTTTGGAATTTTGTTGCCTATATTAGCTTCTCTAGTAAAGTTCTATTCTTACTAGTGTGATATCACCTAATAGATCATTGTGGCTTTTATTTTGCCACCCTAATAATTAGTGACACTTATCACCATTCACACTGATTATTACATTCCTTCCTGAGAAGTCTTTGCCAATTTTTATTTGCTTTAAGTTGACTATAAATACATATCTGTGTATTGATTAGATACAATTAGTCACTCATATATATATGTATATATATAATTTGCATAGTGAGACACTTAATTTTTTCCTGAATCTTTGAAAAATATAATATGTAGTTGCTAATTACAGTAACTATGCTATTCAATGCATCTTTTAAATATAATTCTGTTATTTAACCATATTTTGGATCTAGTGATAAACATGTTATTAATCTCTTCACCAGTCTCCTCACCAGTAATGTGGTCCCTACTTTTATTGAATGATGTGTTTCATATTCAATTTATGAGGGAGCTTCTCTGATATTTTCTTCATGGACTGACTTATTTACCAAAAGATAATGTTATTCAGATGAGCCTATAAATTAATATTTCAGCAAAATTCATCATTCATCAAAATAAAGTTTCTCTTATTCTCCCCAACAAGCCCTGTCCCCTTCTCTACATGTACATATGTTCCAGAATTATATCAGTGTCTCATTTGTGCTGGATCTTCTTATTACATTTGTCGTGGATATTGGGGATTATAACATGTTTCTACTTTGATATGTGTAATATACATTTTGACAAAAATAGTATTTTTAAAACTTATCAATCATGCCAGCAATTTGAGGAGTAAAATATTTTTTCAACCTTATAAATATGTTGAAACTTGGTATACTTCAATCAGAAAGGTACATAGACATTTAAAAATTTAACACACATATACACACATATGCATGCATATATATATATATACACACATACATTCACACACACACACACACACACACACACATATATATATATATATCCATTTATAGATAAGGCGTACCTATTTCATTTTTGGAACACAATGTGAAAGGAAAATTTATTCCTCATTGGATCCTAGAATGACAAATAAATTAGTTGTTATCTGTGTTTCTCTCTAATTCAACTGTTCTGTCAATTAAGGAGTAAATAAAGTACAAGAGAGTTAATACCAGAAAGAAAGAAAGAAAGAAAGAGAGAGAGAGAGAGAGAGAGAGAGAGAGAGAGAGAGAGAGAGAAAGAAAGAAAGAAAGAAAGAAAGAAAGAAAGAAAGAAAGAAAGAAAGAGAGGGGGAGGAAGGAAGGAAGGAAGGAAGGAAGGAAGGAAGGAAGGAAGGAAGGAAGGAAGGAAGAGAAAAGTAACTCCCCATATGTGAACTATTTTGCAATGCTGCAGCATGAATTAAAAAACTCACTGACTGATACTGGGGTTCAAGCTTCAATCTGAAGATCAGAAAAGCAAAGCAACATCCACTAGCTCTCCCCTCCAGCTCAGGTCAGAACAAAGGGGCACTTCTCAGACTGTTCCAAACATCACTGCACCTCAGATTCACTCAGACTGCTCTGCTCTCCTCCACGTGACTAGAGACTAATTCTGAGACTGTCTACTGAATGAATCCTCTGCTCCTATCTTTTACACCTCTCTAGTGCTGGGACTAAAGGTGTGAGCTATGTTACTGTTTTAGACCAATTCAGTCTCCTGTAGCACTTGGTGTACTTGAACTCAGAGAGCTCCATCTGTCTCTTAATCCTGAGTCCTGGGTGTGTACCACCACTGCCTGACCTCTACAGGTAAGCCTTAATAAACCATAAATAATATATCCACCACACAACATAAGTTGGAAAAGTGTTCCAGACTCAGAATGTCTGAGGTTAAAACCACTTTCTTCTGTTTATTGAGCGTGTGAACTTGAGTAGTTTATTGAATAACCTTTGTCTGCTTCCACATCTGTATAGCAACCATAAAAATACTATTGTTTAATACTGTGGATCAGTTGAGACTTAAGCTATTGAATTATGTTAAGGGTCAGTTCTTGGCATATGGTAAACTGTATAAATTGAGGACTATTGCCCCTTGGAGTTTAATAGCTGTATCAAGGATTTTTTCATAGTTATTATAATGCAATAAGGGTGATGACCTTCAGAACTTCCAGAGATGGCTATAAAATCAGTGTAAATAAAATAGCTAAATGAGCCTGAAAAAGCTTGTCCTATATGTGCATGAACTTAAATACAGGTAAACAGTGTAAATGCTTTCAATGTCATATTTTGGAGTTTATTAAATATTTTAATCACAGAAATTCAGTTCTAATTCAGAACAATAATTTTGAAGTACAGTTACCATGTCAACAAAATCACCATCAGCTCCTATTTAATCAGATACTGAAGGAAGGATGACCAGGACTTCATTGTAAACGGTATGAGTTGGGCAAGTTGATTTTACACATGATGGTGATGACCTAATTATGAAATGGTAGCAGAAATAGCCCTTTTAACCCAGTTTCTGAAAAAATTGTTGTAGCATGAATTTATTAGGAAAAACAAAATTAATAACAATATTTTTACAGTTTTTCCTAAGCTCAAGAACCAAATAAAAAAAACACAAAGAGTTCATACTAAAATAATCATAAAGTCTGTGGTAAAGACTTGTTAAGTAAGAAAGCAAAGCAAAACTCTGCCTCAATAATTCCTCCAAATGATTGACATATGCCTGTGCTTTCCATTTTGAGGGTTCCCTAAGCACTGTGACATATTTAGCCAAATGTGTGTGTGTGTGTGTGTGTGTGTGTGTGTGTGTGTGTGTGTGTTTGTGTGTGTTTGTAGATTTCAAGTACTGGTGTACTCGTGTGCCTATAACTGGGGAGGTCTGAGGTTGATCTAAGATGTCTTGTTCCTCAAGTGTTATCCATCCACCCTATGTTTTGAGGCAAGGTCTCTCAATATCCTAGTACTTCGAGATTTGTTCACACTACTGGGATTTTCTTTTCCTTTTCTCCACTTCCCCAGGAACAGGATGACAAGTCCCACTACCAAGCAACAATTTCACATGGGTGATGAGGATCCAAATTAAAATCTTCATGGTTCCCAGGAGATTTTACTCTCCAGGCACTGTACTCAACATCTTCACTTAAAAAAATAGGTTCAGCCTTGGTTTGAGTTCACTGTGTCCTGGGTTTGACACAAATACTTCAAAATTTAAGTACCTATTATTTTACTTATAATTTGAATAAACTAACATTGTTGCTGCGTCTGAAAGTCGGTAGAATGAACCTGAATAGGGTAGAATCAAGATACATTTTCTCCTACCATCTGCAAAAAATTTTTGATGTACTTTTAAAAATCAAGATGTTGATCTATTTTTAAATCCCTCTGTTTCAAAACGTGTTTTATTTAAACCTACAACTTTTATTGCCATTACAAATTAACCACGTTTCCATTCTATTTCCAAAATTAAATATTATTTCTCACAGCCTCTGTGGTAAGTTACAAACATTCTTTGCATTTAAAAATGTATGTAAAAAATTATTAAACCTATGATGATAAATAGGAATGTGATTTTCATTTATAAGTGGATAAACT